CCAGAGTACAGGCCGGGCAAGAACTCCACACTGCCTCCCATCCGGGGTACAGGCTAGTCACGGCCCCCGCAGCACCTCCTGCCTGGAGTACAGGCTGGGCACGGCCCCCGTGGAGCCTCCTGCCCAGGGTACAGGCCGCGCATGGCCCCAGCAGAGCCTCCTGCCCAGAGTATGGGTAGGCCAAGAAAGCATTCACAAGAAGACGCAAAAATAAACAGTAACAATTTTTTAAAATATATCAGAAGCAGGAAGCCTGACAAATAATCAGTGGGGCCACTGGACGATCGAAGTGCTAAAGGAGCACTCAAGAAAGACAAGACCATTGCAGAGAAGCTAAATGAATTCTTTGCATCGGTTTTCAAAAAAGGATACCCAAAAGGCTAGCTCTGATGTGGGTAACAAATCTAAAGTGTTGCCTCACATTGATGTCGCAGTACAAATTGAACAGATTAATAAACTAAACAGTAATAAATCACCAGGCCCAGACCTTCAGAACCTGAGAGTTCTGAAGGAACTCAAATATGAAATTGCAGAAGTACTAACTGTGGTATATGTAACCTATCACTAAAACAAGCCTCTGGACCAGATGACTGGAAAGTAACTAATGTAATGCCGATTTTTAAAAAGGGCTCTAGAGGCAATCCTGGCAATTACAGGGCAAACTTCAGGATAGACGAATTGGCTGATACTATATTAAACAACAGAATTATCAGACACATAGATAAACACGATTAGTTGAGGAAGAGTCAACACAACTTTTGTAAAGGGAAATTGTGCCTCATGGATCTATTAGAATTCTTTGAAGTGGCAACAAGCATGTGGACCAGGGTTAGTCAGTGGATATAGTGTACTTGGACTTTCAGAAAGCCTTCGGCAAAGTCCCACCACAAAGGCTTTTAAGCAAAGTAAGCTGTCATGGGATAAGAGGGAAGGTCCTCTCATAGATCAGTAACTGGTTAAAAAACAGGAAACAAAGGGCAGGAATAAATGGTCAGTTCTCAGAATGGAGAGAGGTAAACAGCAGGATCCCCCAAGGGTCTGCACTGGCACCAGTGCTGTTCAACATATTAATGATCTGGAAAATGGAAATCACAAAGTTTGCAAATGATACACAATTATTCAATACAGTTAATTCTAAAGCTGACTGCAAAGAGTTCCAAAGGGATCTCACAAAACTGGGTGAGTGGGCAACAAAATGGCAGATGAAATTAAGTGTTGATATGCAAAGTCATGAACATTGAAAAAAATGATTCCGACTATACATATACAATGATAGGGTCTAAATTAGCTGTTGCCACCCACGAAACAAAGATCTCAGAGTCATTGTGGATAATTCTCTGAAAACATCAATTTAGCAGTGGTCAAAAAGGCTAACAGAATGTTAGGAACCATTAGAACAGTGATAGAAAATAAGACAGAAAATAAGATAAAGCAACTATATAAATCTATGCTGCGCCCATACCTTGAGCATGACGTGCAGTTCTGGTCACCCCATCTCAACAAGGTTATAGTAGAACTGGGAAAGGTTCAGAGAAAGGCAACAAAAATTATCAAGGGTGTGGAACAGCTTCACTACAAGGAGAGATTTTGGCTGTTCATCTTAAAAAAGAGAAGACATGGGGGGGATATGACAGAAGTCCATAAAATCATGAATGGTGCAGAGAAAATTATTAGAAAAGTGTTAGTTACCCTTTCCCACAATACAAAAACCAGGGGTCATCCGAGGAAACTAATAGGCTGCAGGTTTAATAAATAAGGAAATACTTTTTCACACAACACAGTCAACCTGGGAACTCACTGCCATGGGATGTTGTGAAGGCCAAAAGTATAGCTGGGTTCACAAAAGAATTAGATAAGTTCATGGAGGATAGGCTATCAATGGCTATTAGCCTAGATGATCAGGGGCACAACCCCATGCGCTGGGTGACCCTAAACCTCTGACTGCCAGAAGCTGGGAGAGAAGATGGGGTGGATCACCCTCCAATTGCCCTCTTCTGTACATACCCCCTGAAGCATCTAGCACTGGCCACTGTCAGAGACAGGATACTGACCCAGTATGGCCGTTCTTATGCCACAAGGAACGGGACACTCAAGTGTCCTGCACACCTCCATAGGCACCTGCCTGCAGTGGGCACAAGAGTGCAGGAACCACCCTGGGATAAGGGGCAAGGGAGAGAATGGATCCCACAGGGCCGTGGTCAGGGACTGAGTGTGAGGTCAAAGCAGAGGGATAGCTCCCTCTCCTGCTGGAGCATGGCTCCTCGCTCCCTCTCCCACGCAGACCCCACTGCAGTATGGAGACCTGGTCAGTAAGTGCTCCCAGAGGCAGCCCCGATGCATGCACGCACCACGCTGCCCTGCTGGGTGCGAGCACTGACCGTTGCTGATCCCGCTGCACCCAGTAGGGTGCATGGAGCAGTTCCAGGCGTGTGCTGGCACGCTGGAGCTCCCTCGTGGCAAGTAGTGTGGCCAGGTGCCCAGTTTTCGACCAGAAAATCTGATTGAAAGGGGGACCTGACAGCGTCCGGTCGGATCTATTGACTGGACACCCAAAATCCAGTTACTGTGAGCAGGGGAGACAGGGAGCTGCCAGATCATCACCCACTCCAGCCTTTACTCAATCAGGGCCACCTCCTACCTTCGTTGTGCGGCTGCAGCTCCCAACCCCGACCCAGGCAGGCGGAGACGGAAGCAAGCAATGGGGTGGGAGGGAAGAAGGGGAATGGATGGGGGCGGGGCCTCAGGGGAAGAGATGGGCAAGGGTGGGGCTTTGGGGGGAAGAGGCAGAGCAGGGTGGAGCCTCAGGGGGAAGAGGCAGGGCAGGGGAGGTTCCACCCCTGCTGGAGTGTCCAGTTTTTAAATATTGCCGGGTTGGCAACCCTAGTGGCAAAGCTTGATTCCAGCACAGGGAGGGGCCGGATGTCTGCGACAGCCCCCATCATTCACCAGCACGGCACAGCCCGCCAGGGACATGCCATGTTCCCTCCCAAGCCACCCTGCCCTGGCCTATCCCACAGGCAGGAAAACAGGACTCAGGCACAAGGAAGCCAGGGCACAGGAGAGGAACTAGCCCCAAGGCACAGGCACAAACCCCAGGGATGGGAGGAGCGGAGCCTGACCCAGGGACGGGGGTTGCTGTGGGGAGCAGCCCTGGAAATTTTCCCCAGGTGCAACTTAGGCTCCACGGTGTGGGGGAGGCACCTCAAACTATTGCTGCCCCTTGACTGCACAGGACCGGGCCTTGTAATGCCATTTCTAGGCTCACCTGCTACGTCCTCACATGGAGAGAGGTTGGGGTGGTGGATAATGTGGATGTGGATGTGGTTGGGGTGGTGGATAATGTGCCACTGCCCCCAGCTGTACTATGGGGGGATGGACTGCGGGGGGGAGCGGGGGCGGGGGAGGCAGAGCCCCCTTTTGTTCACTCCCCCTCCCCGCGCCTCTGGGCCTTATGGAAAACAAGACACAGCATTCAAAAATATAAAACTTTATTGAGGGCAAATTCAATGGGGGCAGTCCAGGCCCATGGCAGATCCCATCCCCATGGGACACACAGGCTACAATGCAACAGGGGGAGCCAAGTCCCATGGGACACACAGCCTACAATGCAATGGAGGGAGAGGGGAGCCCAGCCCCAGGACACACAGGATATAATGCCAATGCTGCAGGTGGGAAGCCCCCCCCCCCCCCCCCCATGGGCAGATCGCAACAGGGCCCACAGAGCAGGAGCCCAGCAAGATGAGGCAGCCAGGCAGGATGTCCTCAAGGCCTTGAACCCTCCACCTCACCCATCACCTCCACAGCCTGGCTCCCAGATTTGCATTCTCCCCCCCAGCCCCCCCAGGTCCCTCAAGATGCAGCCAGGACCTTTGCTCTGTCCCCTCATGCAGCAAGACACACCTAGCCCCAACTCTCAGCAGTGACCCTGCCCTGAACCTCAGCACAGCCACCTCCTGCTCCCCAGCAGAGACACCCCCCTAAGTCCCGGCTCCCCTCAGCACAGCCACCTCCTGCTCCCCAGCAGAGACACCCCACCACCACAGTCCCGGCTCCCCAGCCCCGACACTCGGCACAGCCACCACCTGCTCCCCAGCAGAGACCCTCCCCAGCCCTGACTGGCACAGCCATCTCCTGCTCCCCAGCAGAGACCCCAACTCCGCGAGCCCTGGCTCCCCATTCCCGACACACAGACAGCCCTGGTGCAGCCCAGCCCCCTCATTTATGGTAACAAGCTGTGCTCTGATCTTCTCTGCAGTGGGCTTAGCAGAGGCTGCAGCATCAGCTCCTGCAGCTCCAGAGACAAGCCTGATGCTCAAGCTGGAGCAAAGGGCCAAGCACCCCAGGCAGCGAGGGTTGGCCCTGGGACACAGGCCAGGCTCCCCACCCCAGGAGCCGAAGAAGCTTCTCTTACAGATTTGCTTTGCCCCTCCCCCAGAAGCCCAGAGCTGGCACTTCAGAGGCTGCTGCTAGCAATAATGGGCTGGGACTGGGCACAGCACCCCTGACCCAGGCAGGGCAGGAAGTCAGCTCTTTGTGGGACCAGCAACGGGCAGGCCCCAGGCAGCCCAGCGCAGCTGAAGCAAGCGCGACTCACGGGATGGGCGGGGTGGGCACTGCCATCTGCTGGTGCTGGCAGGCCTGGTCTCTAGCCCAGTGCTTGGCTGCTACTGGGGCCCAGGGGCTGCGGATCCAGTCCATCCACACCCCTCACCCAGCACATGCAGGGTTCCTTCCCGTCAGGGGAACCCCCAGCAATGTAGCTCAGCAGCTACCACCCCCATCAGCCACAGGCGGCTGCCCACAGGTCACAGTGCTTCAGCCCCTGCCCTTTCCTGCCCCAGGAAGGAGCCATGGCTAGGTGCTCCATTAGTCCTCTGCCAGCCCCCCAGGCCATTCCCGTGCGGCCGGGGGTGGGTCCATGCTCATTCCCACACCTCCGTCCAGATGGCGCCCCGATGCAGAGGGGGTGCGTCCGGCGGGCTCAGAACGAGCTCTCCTACCTGCTTGTTGGTGTATTTCTGGGGGTTGGTGCGGTAGCTGTAGTCAGAGTACTGTTCGGAGCCCGTTGAGTTGTTGTCCCCAGTGCCCACAAAGGTGTTAGTGGCAGGCAGGTCCTGCACCACCTGGTGCTTCTTAGAGGCGGAGGGTGACTGGGGCTGCAGCTGGATGGAGGGCAGTGGGGAGTTGGAGCGGTAGTGGCGCCCCAGGTCCGGGCTCCCGGGCGGGTAGTTGAGAGGCAGGTGGATGCGGGGGCTATCACTGACAGAGTCGTTCATGAGGTTGAACTTGAGGGACTTCTGCAGCCCTGTCTCCTCCTCATCCTCGGACGGTTTGGGCGGTTTGGGGGACTTGCTCTTCTTCACTTTGCCCTTGCTCTTGCTGCTCTTGTTGCCCTGCTTGGGGGCGTACAAGTCCTTGGTCTCCTTCTTGCCCGCCTGGTAGCCGCTCTTGGCCTCCCTCTGCCGGCAGTAGCGCACCAGCACCACCAGTACTATGACCAGGGTGACGGCCACGATGCCGGCAATGACGCCGAAGAGGATGTTGCTGCGCTGCTTGCCGCGCTCGTACTCGGGGTCGCCGGCAATGTCGATGTCCAGCGGCGTGTCCAGGCTGTGTCCCAGCAGGGTCTCCAGCAGCGTGCGGTTGGCCAGGGTCTCATTGATGTAGAAGTGCACCAGTGCGGTGCCGTGGCGTGAGGGCTTGCCCCTGTCATTGACCCGCACCACCAGGCGGTGCAGGCCGTGGTGCTTGCGCAGGATCTCCTTCTCCAGCGTGATGTCCCCGCTCTGCGACGAGATCTGGAACAGCTCGAAGGGGTTACCCCCCGTGATGCTGTAAGTCAGCTCTGCATTGACCCCCGAGTCAATGTCCTCGGCCTTGACCTTGCTGACCTGCTGCCCAGGGCTGGTGTGGGGCAGGATGTGCTTGTAAGAGGCATTGGAAGGGGAGGTGATGAAAGGGGCATTGTCATTCTCGTCCAGCACGTTGATGGTCACCCCCACGTAGGCGGATCTGGGAGGGTCCCCGCCATCCACAGCTTTGAGCCGAAAGGTGTACGTGCTCTGCTGCTCCCGGTCAAAAGAGATGCTGGAGAGGATCGTGCCAGTGCCATTCTGGATGACAAAGTCCCCGTTGTCCTGCTCCACTGACAGCTGGATTCGGGCGTTGTTGCCCTTGTCAGCGTCAATCACTGTCACCATGCCCACCGGACTCAGGGGAGGCATGTTCTCCATCACTGAGAAGTTGTAGCTGCTCAGCATAAACTTGGGGTCGTTGTCGTTCCTGTCCACGACATTGATGGCCACAGATGCAGTGCCCTTGAGACTGGGACTGCCCTTGTCAGCTGCCACCACCAGGAACTCGTAGCGCTCCCTCTGCTCCCGGTCCAGCACCGTCTTCACTCGGATCTCGCCTGAGTCAGGGTCGATGGAGAAGACGCCCTTGGAGGAGGGGTCCATGACCAGGGAGTAAACCAGCTTGGCATTGGAGCCGCTGTCAGCGTCGCTGGCGCTCACCTCCACCACCAGGTCATCAGGTGCATTGTTCTCGGGGAAGGCCACCTCGGTGAGGCTTTGGCTGAAGACTGGGGCGTTGTCATTCACATCCACCACCTGCACCTTGAGAGAGTTGGTGCTGGAGAGGGGCGGGTTCCCCGAGTCCACAGCCACGATCTCGATGGTGTACTCCTTCACCGCCTCGTAGTCCAGCGGCGTGGTGGTCTGCAGGAAGTACTTCTTCTTGCTGTCACTGCCCGTCTCACTGGCCTGTCTCAGCTGGAACGGGACATCGCCAGCAACCACACAGGTGACCACAGCGTTCTCACCCTCATCCCGGTCAGACACCTGTACCAGAGCCACGGCCGTCTCCACAGGCACGTCTTCAGAGATGTTGGCCATGCCGTCCTGATGGGTGACAAGGCCAATGCCCCGGATTTCAATGGAGGGGGCGTTGTCATTCATGTCCTTGACGGTCACCACCACCTGGGTGCGGGCACTCTTGGGATTGGCCCCCTTGTCCTTAGCCAGGACAGAGAACTTGAGGATATTGATGTCCTCCCGGTCAATGGGCCCCTGCACAGTGATGAGACCCGTGGCCCTGTCCAGGCGCAGCAGGCGGCGCACCATGTCCGTGGCCTGGTGGAAGGAGTAGTCAATCTCGGCATTGGCGCCCTGATCTGAGTCGTTGGCTTTCACCTGTGGGAGGAGGAAGAGGAGGACAAGGTGAACAGAAGCAACCCTGTCCATGTTGCTCCAGTGAAACTGGCCTGACCGGTTAGGCTGCCTCAGCCCCACTCCCTGCTGTCCTGCTCTGGCATGCAAGGAATTCTCCATGGGAACCAGCCAGCCAGCAGGTCTGACACCCAGCAACAGGAAGGAACAGCCAGGAACTAGAATGCAGCCCGTCCAAGTGAGTCGGCCACACCCTGCTGGGCCCTTGCACACCTCTTTGCTAAGATGAACCCTGATTCACCGCCGCACTGCAGTGAAGCTAGTTACATGCAGCCAAAGACACCACCCGGGAAGGCTGGGTTAGAACCCACTGCTTCCCATTCTGGGCTGCTGCTCTGAAGCCACGCAGCCAGCCCAGTGCCTGCTCCTGGGCCGTCCTGACCCAAAGCCAGTCCAGAGGCTGCTGCAGTTCAGTGCAGACAGCTAGTGATTCTCAGGGCTGGGACAGCAGGAGGCTGCAGATTGGGATTGAGGAGCTCGAGCTGAATTGGGTGTTGGGGGAGCCCAGGACTGGAACAATGGGAGGCGGGCTGAGGTTCCGTACTGTGGGGCAATGGCAGAGCTGGGAGGAGCTCAGGGCTGGGATAGCATGGGGGGGTGGCAGGGAGTTGTGGGTCAGGACTATGGGGACCAGCCTAGCTGGGGAGTGGGGGAACCGAGGACAGAAATAGCATGTAGGGGGGAGAGGCTGGGATTGAGGGGCAGCAGCAGAAGTGGGGGAGGTGGGTCCCAGGGCTGGAACAGCTCCAGATTGGGGCTGAGAGATGTTGGCTGAGTGGAGGGACAGAGGAGAGCTGCCCATACGCTGCATGGCTCTATTCCCCACACACACCCACACACACACCCACACACCCGGCTCCTGGCTTCTCCCGGTCAGGAGTTCTGCATTCACATAAGCCTGTTTCCACATTTATTATTTGCTTTCTAAAGAATCAGAGGTTTGTCTAACATTTGCTTTCCTAATCAGCTCTCCAAGCGGGCTCCTCTCTGCCCCATTTGCGGCTCTGCCGTTATCTCGCTCAGCAGATTTGGATGGAGAACAAAAGTTGTTAAATGTAAATTCCACCTTTTACCTCCACTCCCTGAGCTGAGGAGTCATTTTCTTCCTGAAAGATAAAAGCTGAGCAATGGCAGCAGCAGAGCTGCAGCCCATTCTCCTGTCGCTTCTGCCTTATCTGCCTCCAACTTTCGCTCTCTGAACAGTGAAAAATGAATTCTTAAAATTCACATCAAAATTAGCGAGCCGAGCAGCCGAGCGCTGGCCGCGCTCCGCTTATTAAGATGGCAGCTGCAGATAAACAGATGTCAGCTCCCATCAGCTCAGTGCCCCTTCCACCAAATCCACAGAGACCCACCCCTCAGGGCCCCCAGCCAATCAAGATGGGCATTAGGATGCCACGCTTGGGCTCAAAATTCTCTCTGTGGAGTCTGTGGCATGCAAGCGGCCTTTGGCTGCCCCGGGGCTTCAGAGACAGCCATGCCACGTTTTGTTTGTGCATGTACAAGAGAGGCTGCACCATCCCACATCTCCCCGGGGAGCAGGCACTTCCCAGGGGCTGCCAAGCCAAAGGAGCCTGCTTTACTCTCAGAGGCATCTAATGCTGCTGAAAGGGAGACTAATTTCCTGTCTGTAGCCAGCATTTAGCACAGCTAGGCAGTGGGCAGGCTTCCCAAGCACAGCGCTGCCAGTGCCCCTCTATCCTGACCTGCAGCCCCTGCTAGCCCAGCCCTGGCCTTCCCCCACTTCTTTTCCATTCCTAATCTTATCAACTTACAAAACCCCTGCCACTTGTGATCATGCCATGCCTGAAACCAGGTCCCCGGTGGTGCCTCAGCACATTTCCAGACAGACAGACTGTGAGGCCTTTGGGACAAAGACTGTTCTTTTTGTTCTGTGTTTGTACAGCATCTGGGGCCACAGGGGGCTGAGCCATGACTGGGGCCGATGAGAGATACTGTAATACTCCTAATAATGTACAGTGCCTACTGCAATGTGGGCCTGGTCCGTGACTGGGCCTCCTTAGTGTTCCCATAATACACCTAATAAATAATAATCATAGTAAGTAATATAGAGACACTCCAGCTGCTCCACACCCCTCCTTTGAACACTGATGAAGAAAGTGGGAAGCTGGCCTGGGTGGTGCAGCTTGTGCGCGATGCTTGGTGCCCCGCTGCATGCTCACCTGAAGGACGGAGTGCCCCACGGGGCTGTTCTCCGAGAGCTCCGCCTCGTACAGGGCCTTCTCAAACTTGGGGGTGTTGTCGTTCATGTCCAGGATGGTTATGCGCAGCAGGGCGCTGCTTGCCCGTGGTGGGCTGCCTCCATCCTGCACCTTGATGGTCAGGTCATAGGAGTCCCACTGCTCTCGGTCCAGGTTCCCCATGACAATCAGCTGTGGCTGCTTCTCATCCTGATCTTCAGCCACCTGTAGGCCAAAGAGCTCCTGCGCCTCAGGCCCAGCCAGGAGCTCGTAGGAGGCGACCCCATTGGCTCCTGCATCACGGTCCATGGCCAGGGGGATGGGGAAGAGTGCCCCAATGTTGGTGTTCTCAGGAATGGCCAGCGTGATGACGGGTGAGGCAAAGTTGGGCGTGTTGTCGTTGATGTCCAGCACCTCGATCTGCCCCTCCAGCAGGCGTGGGCTGCTGTTCATCTTCAGGTCCGTGATGGACACCTCGAACTCCAAGAAGCAGCGGTCCCCTGGGAACTGGCTCTGGCACTCCCGCAGGCTCTCTCGGTCGATGGAGGTCTCCGTGGTGTAAATGTCCCCAGTCTTGCCATCCACACGCAGGTAGGGGGCCCCCACTTCCAACTTGTAGAGGTGCCCCACGTCAGGAAAGCCGTAGTCGGCAGCCAAGCTCCCAATGAGTGTGTTGGGCGGCTGTTCCTCCTGTACTTGGTAGACCACGCGTGTCCCAGCGCCCAAGATGGGGAGCTGCAGGAAGAGCCACAGGCCCAGGCAGGCTGCCAGCCACGTCATCCTGTGCTGGACAGGGGCTGCAAGGAAGCAAAGACACCACAGATTAGGGACAGCATGCTCCATCCCTTGGGCCTCCTCGCTCCCCACAGGCCCCATTCGCTGCCACTCCATGTCCAACCTGGCTAGGAATGAGAAACCCCAGTCCTCTTGACAGCCATGAAGCAGCTGAGCACTTCCCTGCTCCACACACTCACCTCCCTGCTGAGCTAGTCACAGGAGCTGATTTCCAGCAGCCGTCTGCAACCCCCCAACATCGGTGCCCAGGGGAAAGGCTCCTGCAAGCCCTGCCTGCGTAAGGACACGGGCACTGAAACCCAGCCCCACGCCTGTCCCTGCCCACCAGCTAGTCACAGTGCGAAAGGACACTGTGCCCAGGTAGATGCACGCAGGGCATGCTGCAGAGGGCTTCCGCCTGCAGTGCACAGCATGCTCTAGCCAGAGAGACAGCCTCGCGGCGCAGACCAGAGACCCTGCATCCCCCACAGCACTCCAGCAACATGCTGTAAGCGAGCGAGTGCCTCCACCCTGGCACTCCAGTGACACGCTACAAGTGTGCAACCCCCCCAGTGCTGCAGTGACACATGCTACGAGCGCACCCCATCCCCACCCCCACCCTACAGTGACTCACGCTATGAGTGTCCCCATCCCGGCACTGCAGTGACACGCTGTGAGCAAGCGCCTCCCCCCCTCCCCCCCCCCCCCCGGCACTGCAGTGACACATGGTATGAGCATGCACCCCCTCCCCCTGGCACTGCAGTGACACACTGCATCACGTGCTCTAGCCAGAGAGACAGCTTCGCGGCGCAGACCAGAGACCCTGCCCCCCCACCCCCCGCCAGCGCTGCAGCGACATGCTGTGAGCAAGTGCCTCCACCCGGACATTGCAGCGACACACTACAAGTGTGCAACGCCACCCCAGTGCTGCAGTGACACATGCTACGACCGCACACACACCCTGTGCTATGGTGACTCATGCTATGAGCTTCCCACCCACACCCCGGCACTACAGTGACACGGTGCCCCCCCAGCGCTGCAGCGACACACGCTACAAGTGCACCCCCCCCCCCAGTGCGGCACAGACACATGCTACAAGCGCACGCTTACCCCCCATGCTGCAGTGACATAAACTGCGCCCACACACACACAGACCCAGTCCTGACTCCTGGCCCCAGGGGGCTGCAGTACAGCAGACAGGAGAAGAGACTCTCAGGGCACTGGGGCCACCCCATAAAGCAGCTCCTAACCTCAGCACTTCCCCACGTGGAGTGGAACCCCCACAGCACTGCTGTGCTGGCCCCGAGCTGGGCTCCCTGGCTACACAGGGCAGGCTGGGGCCCCACCCCTGCTCACACTGGTACGAGCTGTGGGCATACACCAGGTGGGGGGCAGAGAGGCAAGGTGAGACCCCTCCCCTCCTCATTATCCCGGCCCCGCAAGATACACAAGCACAGTAACCTCCCCCCAACACATAGAGACAGTCTGACCACCTCCAACACACACACACCTTGCCAACAAACACACAGTCTGACCCCCACCAACACACACAGTAACCTCCTCCAACACACAGTCTGACCTCCAACACATACAGTGTCTGACCCCCACCAACACACATACACACACACAGAGTAACCTCCCCCAACATACACAGTCTGACTGCCTCCAACACACACACACAGTAAACTCTCTCCAACACACACACACAGTCTGACCCGTGCCAACACACACAGTAACCTACCGACTACACACACTGTCTGATCCCCTAAGACACGCAGTCTGACCACCACCAGCACACACACAGTAGCCTCCCCCAAACACACACTGTCTGACCCCTCCAACACACATAGTAACATCACCCCAACACACACACACTGTCTGACCTCCGCCACGCACACACACACACAGTAACCTCCCCCAACACGCACACACTGACTCCCTCTGCACATATACATACACAAAATAACCTCCCCCCCTACACACACACACACACTGTCTGACCCCCCACCAAATGCGCACACACACACATTGTCTGACACCCTCCATGCACACACACACACACACACACACAGAGGAACCTCCCCCCGACACTCACACACTGTCTGACCCCCGCCAACACACCGGAGCGCCCCAAGAGACAGAGGGCTTGACTACCAATACAGATCCAATAAGCAGCCCACAGTGGAAGCCATGTACCTGACACATACACGCATCAACTTCCTCCCTAGAAACAACACAATCCCAGCCAAGCACCTGAACGCAAGCACTATACAAACTTGCCAACCTCTAGCATGACTGTCCAGAACCAGAATCATGGCCCCACACCCCCTATTTCCCAGGGACCCACATACAGCACTGCTCCCCGCAACCCATCACCCTGCCCATGCCCCAGCCTCACGCCTCCACAGAAACACCTCCTGTGATGAACAGACATGCAATGCCATACTCCTCCCTCCCCACACTGCAGCCCCCAGCCCCTCAACACTATCCACTACGCACCCCACACAACCCCAAACCTCCACCATACACACACCTCCCACCTCAACCCCGAAACACACAATTCCCTCCTCTCCAGTTCTTCCTGGTTCAGTTACTGCACTAAGAGCCAGCATCTCCCCCGGGCACAAGGCTTGAACCCCTCACTCCTCCCCCATGACATTCAGCCCCCCATCCTGGCTGCTACCTTCAGCTCTAAGCTCCGAGCTCTTCTCTGAACAGGCAGGCTCTGCAAGGGGAGGGCCGAGAAAACAGCAGGAGATGCCCATGAGAACAACACCCACTCCTCTACAGAGTTCCACCTCCCCTTCCCTCAGGCCCAGGCACACCCTTTGGGGCTGCAGCTGAGATAATGGCAAGAGAGATGCCCACCTGGCCCAGCCCCTCCAAGCATGCCTGGCCTCACTGCCTTCCCTGAAAATCAACCCCACGAGCAGTGCCAGGCCCCAGTGGGTCAGAGCACAGGACCCTTGGCAGTGCCCTTCCCAAACCTCACCCTATCCAGCAGGGAGCGTCTCCGAGTGCCCATAGGATGGGGGGCATTGGGGAGGGTTACAGCTGCCTGGCAACAAGCACAGCCCCTAGAGAGATGCTGCAGCTTCAAGCCTGTGGGAGGCAACACCTGAGCAATGGGAACCCCAAGCAAAAGGATCCCTCCAGCCCAGAAGACCCCTCTCCCATGTAAGCTCCAGACCATCCCCACACGGCAAACTCCCCCAGCCCTTCTCTTTCCACCCACACACCCAGTAAGCTGCCCCCCAACACAGAGCCAGCCCCCATGCTACCCTTCCCCCACATATGGCCAGCCCCACTCCCCCACACATAGCGAGTTGAGTCTCCCTCCACAGCACAAAGTGATCCCATGGGGTACTACCCCACTCCCATTCATTGTGAGCTCTCCTCCCCCCCACCCCAGGGAATCCCTCAGTTCCCCACCCCCACTCTGCTACATGGTGCTCTGACCCTGGGTGGGCCCGTGCTCCCCTGAATAAGCGAGTGGGGCAACAGGCAGTGCCAAGAGCAGCTAGGGTGCCACACAGTTTAGCGCATTCCTCGAGCCACTAGCTCACAGCCCATCACAAGTCCCTGACCCCAGCCCAGCAGAGGGGACCCTGTGCAGCCCCTCCTCTCCTGCACAGACCACAGCCTCTTCCACAAGCACAGATGACAATCACAGGGAAGTCTTAGCAGCCCTGCTCCCAGGCTCCCAGCCGTGGGGCCTGGCTCTCCCTCCTTGGAAGAGCTGTCCCGCTTTGCTAAGTGCCTTTCACGCAGGACTAAGAAATCCACCCCTCCCTGGCAGCATGAGTGAGACAGGGGGCTCTGGGATGGCAGGAGCATCCAGCCCAGGAGCTGCCCATGTGTGGGGCAGGCCCATTTGTCCTGGCAAAGTGTGAGAGCAAAACAAGCCCCTCCCAGTAACAAGGCAAGGGACATCAACACCGAGACTCAGCCCTGACCCAGGAGAAGCACATTGCCAGGCACAGAGAAGAAACAGAGCAAAATCAGCTTTGGTGGAGAATGGCTCCCAGAGGAAGGCAAAAGGCTGACAGCAGCCACAGTGTGCCACACGCCTGGACCGCAAGTGTGCGTGCCCTTCTCAGGCACCCTATTGCTCGGTAGTATCTTAGAAAATGGCCGCGTATGGAGCAAGACAAACAAATACTATCTAACCACAGGGCCTGGGGGAGTCCCAGTTGGACAGACCCCAAGAGTCGGTCGGGATCTATTGAGTTCCCTGGTGAGGCCCTTTTGGAGCTGCAGCTGGGCCTGGAGCTGCTCCCAGAGGTTGTTTCCCCATATTTGTTTATTCTAGGCATGGGTTCCAACTGTCATTCCCATTGGGTGAGGTTTGGGGCAAAGGTGAAAGTCATAGGGTAAGGCAGTCCCTGTGCCTAGCAGGCAACCTGAGTCAGCCATTCCTAGGCTCTGGGCCAGGTATCTCGCAGGGCTCTGCACCCAGCAGCTTCCACTGTGACCACTAGTGGGGCTGGGCAAGCCCAGCACTCACCCTGCTACCTCTCTCACTGCAGCAGGAGCCAGAGGCAGAACACGGACCAACACTCACTCGCAGGACAATTCACCTTGGCCTGAGCAGGCGCTGTATTTTTGCCTCTGGTCCCCCACCATCCTCTGCTGGTGCAGAGAGGGTGCGTGAACAACTCCCACTCACTGCATGGCTCTGAATGACATGCTGCAGAGCTCCAGCCTGAGAATCATGACCAACAGCGCGGCCCCTTGGGCACAGTGAAGCTGTCCACCAATGGTAAAGCTCATCTGTTCAGGATGCACTGGAACCAATTCCTCCAGGAGCTAAGGACTGTACCAGATCTCCCCAGCTTCTGCTCAGAGAGCCAGGCACGCTCCTACAACCCACCTGCACCGCTGAACACCGGGAGCAGTTACCATTTACAACCCAAACCACTCCACTGCACACACAACTCTCCCCCAGAAAGAGGGTGAGCAACAGAGCAAACCACACATGGCATCACTCAATGCACCATCAGAAGGTGCTCAGATACTGCTGTGATGAGGGTGGGATCAGAACCTCTACAGAATTACACCCAAGGCGCTGTGTACAGAAACATGAGGGTTGCAAAGTCCAGAACTCAAAAGTTAAGAAATGCCAGAATTAAGGTTCCCTGTGGGACCTTCATTAATCCCCTTTGTGCGTGGGCATTAGGAGACAGTCTTGGATTACATGCTCACATACTGTTGTTTCCACAGGACCCTGCCTCATTCAGGGCACATAGTGGACAGTGCTCCATGTTCAATACTTCTGTTTATCCTCATCATTCACTGCATGGCCCCAGGTCTTATTTACTGCACACCACTCAAACCATGACCTGAATAAAGAATAATTCATTTCCTCCGGGGCTTTTCTATATTGCTCATCACTACAGCATCGGAGTGCTTCACACACATTAATGAATGTGTCTTCACAATGCCTGTCAGGTAGAGGGGATGTTGTCCCTATTTTGCACATGGGGAAGAGAAGTAGAGAGTTTAAGGCCAAAACTGCCAAAGGTGTTGAACAAATTTTAGATGCCCAAATCTGAGAAGGCCCAATCTTAGCATTCGCTAACATCTAGTACGGGGTAGGCAACCTATGGCATGTGCCAAAGGCGGCCTGGGATACCGGCTGCCGGCCCCCTGCCAGCCGGGGTTCCATCCGCTGGCCCCGTTTAGCCGACTGCCGGCCCCGAGTCCCAGCCACCGGTCAGGGGGGCTCTGCTGTCAGCCTGGGGTCCCGGCCGCCAGCCCAGGGCTCTGCAGCTACCACCAGCTGTGACCCACTGGCCCCAGCCTGGGGCAGTGAGGGGTGCAGACAGGAGCAAGAGGGGGCTCAGCAAGAGGGGGCTCAGCAACAACAAAAATTGTTCCAGCGCCACTGTACTGGGATATTTTTAAGTCTTGATTTGCTGCTGACATCACTATGACACCACGTGGAACAGCACACTGCGTTTGATGTTGAGATTAGAATGTACATGCAAGAACTGGAATCAGAATTTTCAGACAGATTTCAAGATTTCCAGTGATTTGGCCCAATGCTTTCTTTTATAATTAAACCTGAAAACTTCAACAAAAGCGACTTGCATCTGTCTGTATTTCAGTGGATGGGTGTTGAAGATTTCCGAAATGCAGCTCATTCAGTTAAAAAGCTCAGAATTGTGGGCATCTAAGTTTGGAGTTCTGCGGAGTGTACTTGAAGTTACCGAGAGAGATTGTTGGGCCTCTATTCTGACCTGCTGGACGTCCCCGTCAGTGAAATTTAACTGTTTGAAGAAAATTGCGTTTGCAATGCTTTCAGCATTTGGATCCACATACATGTGTGAACAGGTATTTTCACACATGAAATCTGTCCTCTGTCCCTCTTGGAGCTGGTTAACAACTGATCACTCAGAAGCCTGTGTGCAGCTTAAAGTATCCAAATACGTGCCAGACATTGGAAAACTCAGCAAGGAAAAGCAAGGGCAAAGATCACACTAAACTGATAAGATCTGCATTTTAATTTAATTTTAAATGAAGCTTCTTAAACATTTTAAAAAGCTTATTTACTTTACATACAACAATAGTTTAGTTATATATTATAGACTTATACAAAGAGACCTTCTAAAAACATTAAAATGTATTACTGGCACGCGAAACCTTAATTTAGAGTGAATAAATGAAGCCTCGGCACACCACTTCTGAAAGGTTGCTGACCCCGATCTAGTATGTTCAAAGCACAGCTCCAGTGGACTTCAGCTGCAGCTGGGAGCACTCAGCACTTCTGCAGCTTTGGCCTAACTGTCCTAAGCCAGATGGCCCACAATGAGAAACACCTAAGTTGCCACCTGTGCAGATTCCAGTTTACCCTACACCTCATGCAGGCTACAGACCCTATTCCAGAGAGAGGGAGAGACCCCAGTCCTAAAGGCAGTATTCAACTGACACAGTGAAACCATCCTTTCTCTTCTTGCAACCCCTCCCCCCACTACCACCTCACTCCCTCCCCACTCTCCAACCTCTGCAGCAGAGGAGGCAGGGGCTCCACAGAAAGCAGCCTCCTTCACTACACAACCCTGATTCATCCCTAGAGCAGATCCGCCCTGTGCACTGAAGGAGACAGGGGCCCAGTGCAAAAAGCAAGTATGTGAACACATAATTAAAGGCTGTATCATAATGCATAGGTACAAGAGGACTGAATTAAGATTACATGCAAAATTAATTCAGGCATTCCCTAATTTTGAGTGCTTGACTTTGCAACCTTAATGTTCCTTTGCAGATGTTATTTCCTACTTTTAAAAAACTTAACAATTGAAAAAAACACTAATTTCCTTGTGTAAAACTGTACCGACACCAACGTGGGTCATCAGTGGGTCTGGGATCCTTAGCACAGTCCTCCACCATGTAAGCTAACATTCACTGATAGCAGTAGTAGGTTGTCAACCTCAATATGGACCTACCACTAGAGGGGGCTGGAGACATACTTTACCAGTGGGTTTCACACATACTTGCTGAACAGTAAAGTTGAAACCAAGGAATCCTGGATTCAGTCCCAGGTTCTGGAGGGGAGTGTGCTCTAGTGGTTACAGATCTCTCTGCCCCATTTCACCTTGTCCCTCTCCCTGCTGCTATCTCCTGTCTTCCTGCCCCTACTTACTCCCAGCTCTGCTCCTAGCCTCCCCCTCCAGAGTTCATGGTCCTGCCACTCTCCCCCCATTTCCCCTTCCCTGCTGCCATCCCCCGCATCTGTCCCCAGCTCCTGCCATGCTCACACCCTGATCCTATTCCCCCCCCCATGGCTCCTGCCCCCTCCCTCCACTACCTTGTTCTGTCCCCACTGCCATCTTCCACCCCCCATTCTGTTCCATCCCTTCTTCTGAGTTCCTGCCACACCCTTTTCCTCCTCCTGCCTGGACACAGCAGGAGGGCACTGAGGGCATAGGACAGACAGCTCCCCTGCTCCACAGCAGCCTCTGGCCTTTGGGGGAGAAACAGCAGGGAAAGTCCTGCTCAGGCCCCGCAGTCCTAGGCTGTAGCATGCTCAGTTCAGACAGAATCTTTGAGATTTTAGAGGCTGAACCTCTCTCTACTGAGCATGTGCACACTAAGATTTTTCAAAGGCTTTTCACTTGACCAAATTTGGGTGTTTTTTCCCAGGAACAGCAAAAGGCACCTCCCCAGCATTGGAGTGACCCCCGTTCAAGCCTTAACCCCCAAGCATGGTGGTGACAGAGCTTCTCAACCCAACAGCAGTGGGAACGTTTCTAACATGGTCAAACATGGTATTTCTCAGAAATGGCTGAGCCCTTTGAGCTGAACCCTTCCAAAAGATCCAGCCGGAAGGCAGACAGCGAGTGTGAGAAATTCCAGCCTGAAGATTTGGCGTTTGGTAAAATCATACCAACAAGCAACTAAAAACAAGATCTCATCCTGGCAGCCATAGCTACAGGCAGTGCTGCCTGGCCAAGTAGCCTGAAACAGGGCAAGGGAGAATCACACCTGTGCATCCCACCACAGCAAGTCCCTGCCCAGGGCTCTCAGGCCCACCCCCACCACAGCAGCTACAGGCAGCAGGAACCCCCAGACCATTCCTAGGCACAGAGGGAGCAAGATTTGCGAAGCAGGCACCAGCGGCCTGGAGCCTGACACCCACAGTCACATTACACTATGCACGAGATCGCACCTGCCCTGCCTTGCCCACTTGCCCCAGAGCCGGGGCAGTTCCAGCACTGACCAGCCCTCCCAACCTTGGCCGCGCCAGGCTGGAGCTGTCAGGACTTAGCACAGCCTGGCCCTGGGCGAGAACCCTGAGGGAGCTGAGTCCCAGAGGGAGGCTGGCAACTGGGTAGTGACTCCAGAAAAAAGGGGGAAAGGGATTAAAGGGGAAATGCCAGGTCCGGACCCCCCCTTCCACTGCACCCAGGGGCAAGGCACACGCGCGCGGGGAGGGGCACACACTCTACAAGCTCTCGGGGAACTAATCACTGGCCAAATCCCAAAGCTGCCGTCATGGAGCTAGGGCCAGGCAAGGAAAGCGGTGGATAAGGGTTCGCTTGGGCCATTTAGAAAGGGACACCTGCTTTCCCTGGTACCTTCTCGTTCACAGGCACACACACAAGCAGCGCTAGTGGCACATAGACAAACCCCATGCCAGTGGCGCTCACACACAAACACATCACTCACCCCATGCCAGTGGCGCGCGCGCGCACACTGTGCCAGCGGCGATCGCGCGCGCGCGCGCGCGCTCCCACTCCCTTTCTCGCACTTACAGCAGCATTTGCCCGCACCCGAAGCAGGCTTGGTTTTCCTGGGGAAGCTATAGGGCAGGTCGGGAGCTCGGCGGCCAGTGGGGAGCGATGCAGATGAGCCCGTTTCAGCCACGGTGGGCGATCGGGGAGGCGCTGGTCTCCTGGCGGGCTCTGGGCAGCCTCTCCCGGGGATGGAGGCAGCAGCACAACAAGTGTCAGGAGCCGCGTGCGGCGCTGCTGTCCGGTCAGGCGACGCCACGGCACTGCAGCGCGCAGCCCGGCAGCCCTTTCGCTTCGCCAGCCCCGGGCCCCGGCTCTGAGCAGCCGGCGAAAGCCCCTGGCGCAAGCAACTCCACCCCTCCCGGCCCTGGCTCGGGCTAGGGCAGCTCCGCGATCCACCCTTGGTGCCGAGGAGAGGGGGAGCTCCCCGCCCAACAAGCCACGGGAATCTCCAGGGACGAGACGGGTGAAGCCCGGGAGCCCATGGCGGGGACGGGGCGGCTGCGCCCCCAATAAGGCTCCGATCCCCGGGCAGCCTCTGATCACGGCTCAGCACAGAGCTCAGCACAGAGCCTGGAAAGAAAGTTGGTGGCCGCACAAGCGGCGGAAGGGCAGCCGCTCCTGGCCCCTTCTCCCTCGCCCGGCTGCCGGGAGGCGCGTCCCTCCCTCGCTGGGCGCAGCATCCGCCTCGCTACTCAGCATCGCTTCTGGGCTCCACTCCCCCTTCCCGGGCACCCAGCTGCCCCGCACTTGGACGCAACCCGCAGCCCCAGCAGCCAGCGCAGCCGCCTGGTCCCCGAGACCCGGCCCCCGCCTCGCTCCCTGCCCGCGCGGACCCGGCCAGGAAGACCCGCGCACTCCCGCATTCCGACACACACAGAGGCATCGCTGTGGGGCAACTGGGGGCTCCCGGGTCCAGCCGCGCTGGGGCACCGAGCACCGGGCAGGCTTCCGGCTGCGGCTCTTACTTGGTTGCGGGGAGCGCCCTGTGCGCGGCTCCTCCGGCTTCTCCATCCCCTGCCCCTGCCGGGACCGGCTCCGCTCCGCGCCTCCGGCTGGTTCCCCACAAAATAGGCGGAATCCCGGAGGACCCGTGGCGGCCGGTCGGGGCTGCGGCTCCCTCCCGGCTCGGCGAGCGGGGCTGGCGCAGCCGTGTCCGTCGCAGTGTCCGGCTCTCGGCGTGTGTGAGGCTGTGCCAGGGACGCACCGAGCCGACCTAGCCCCCTCCCCCTTGCTGCTCCGCCTCTTGCTGCCGCCAGCACCGGGAGGTGGAGCCCGGCGGGGCGGGGGCTCAGCGGATCCGCCGAGTTCTGCGGCTGGGAGGCAGTTGGAGCCTCTAGCTTGCGCTGCGGTGGGTCGGAGCCGGAGCTACCCGCCTGTTCCCCTGCGAGCAGCCGGCCCGGGCCGCCACCTGCACTGCCCGGCCGGGGGCGGATCGGTGCGCGCATGGCTAATCTCCCCAGGAACCAAGCCAGACCCCAGCCCTGCGCTAGCGCTTAGGGCAGAGCCCCGGGGCGACCTCCAGTTCTCTGGGGACTGAGCAATGTGTCCCCGAAAGCCTCGCTGGAGAGCGGAGCCAGCGCCCAGTTGTCCACCACTCCGCAGAGCTCCGGCCCCGGGGCAGCCCAACGGCCAGCGCGTCCGCGGCTGCCCCCCCCCCCCCCATCCCGCCTCTGCGGGGGCCAAGGAGCTGCCCGGCCCGCCCAGCCCTTCCCCCGTGGGAGCGGGAGGAATTGGCCCCATGACTCCAAGGCAGAGCTGCGCTCCTGGAGCTGCTCGAGATGCTGCCCTCGGCTCCCAACGAGCCGGTGCGCTCCCCTGGAGCAGAGGAGCCCTGTGAGCAGCGCACGCGACCGGTCCCTCACCCGCAACAGACCTTGCGCGGCTGCCCTTCTCCCCCACAAGCCCCTTCCCACCCTGGGCTTCCCTGCCAGCCGGAGCCCGGAGCGCAGCTCAGTGAAGGGGCCAGAGCCAGGTGTTGCCCATGGAACAGCAGGCCAGAATTTGGCTTCATTAGCCCGCTGGGGAGCTAGGAGAGGGGTTGGTCGAGGCCCTCCCACCGGCCCCTGGTGACTGTGCCCCGCCGCTCTCAGCCCAGCCAGTAGCCGCCCCTTCAAGAAATGCAGCTAGGGAGGAGCCCAGGGATGCTCAGCTCCTCCCAACAAACAGCTCTGGCTTCCGCGGGCCTGCTGTGGGCCAAGGCGCAGAGCTAGTATATGCCCCGTTCCTGAGTCAGTGACCCTGGGCCGGCGGGGACAGGCTGCCTGGCTGCGGCTTGGAGCCCTGCCCCAGGGGTGCCTAGGTGGCAAAAGAGCAGGTCACTGAGCCGGTGTCAGCACCCTGGTGAGTCACGTACGCTCTTCTTACAGGCGTCAGACCCCCGTTGGGCAGAGCTGAGCAGCTGCAGGTTCCCCACTGACAGTGCAACTCCCCCCTCCCCCACTACAGGGCTGGGTCAGGCACCTTGTTTGCACTTCTTGGAACCTCTTGTGTATGGCAGCCTGATGGGGGCAGGGGAGACAAGTCCTTGTCAGGGCTACGCCCCACAGCCCGTGTGCTCTAGGGCAGTCCATTCCCTGTGCCAGCCGCTCCAGTGACACCTGGCCCCTCTGTTCCGTTAATGTGCGAGCGAATTGCCTGCGTTTGCAGCCTGGAGTCAGTCTCTGCAGCATTCAGCCGAGCTGCGCGGGGACTCTCCTGGCCAAGGGCGGGGTGGCTGACCAGACAGGCTAGGTGCTCTCTGGTGCCGAGTGAAATCTGTAGGCTGGGGGCTCGGAGCGGTAGCGCGGGGGGGAGGAGGCAGTTCTTCACATCCCTGCCCAGGAGCGGATTGACAGCTAGATTTATTGCCCAGGGATGGAGCTCCTGCTCCGCTCTCCCGCCGCTGAGGGCGTGGGCGGCACGGAGGAGCCCTACTTCCTGCTGAGCTACATGAACCTGTTGCATGCACAGCACAGCCCCCCGCCCCTCTCCTCGCACACTTGCTGTCACCTCGCCTTTGATGACCCACTGCACCATCTTTTAGAGGCTGCTTTTTCCTTCCATGGAGCCGGCTCCGGCAGCCCTGGCCGTGGTTCAAGGCTCCTTCTCCGAGGAGGAATCCATCCGCCTCTTCCTGGCTGAGCTTCAGCGGGCGGCACCGAAGCGTGGTTCCCTTCCTGGTGGGCAGGGAAGGGAGGCAGAGAGTTGTCAGGAACTGGTTCCTCTTGGGGTGGGGGTCTTGCCCTCCCAGGGAACTCAGAGGCTTTCCTGGATCTTTTTAATGGCAAACTTCTCTGCTCCTGCCCAGCTGGGCCAGGTTTTTCTTTCGTGTAAATTCACCTGCAATCCAATCAGCAGAAGACATCAAAATCGGAGGAGACCAGACCCCCTGAAGGTCAATGCCCCTCTGCAAAGGGAGCTGGTGAAATCAGAGCTGGCTGAGAGCCAGGGATTATTTATTATTATTCATAACTGTATTATTAAAGAGAGGGAATAACAAGCCTAGAGACAGAATGCAAACAGCTGCCTTCATTATAGGGCTTCAGAGAAAGGGGCCAAGATCCAGAAGCAGAGAGAGGCCGATAGTCTGAAGCACTGTCTTAGGTGAGCCCTGAAGATTCAGGATGGGTTCCATTAAGAGACACTATGGAACCATGGATATAAACTCAGGGCAGAAGCCCCAACATCTGAGATATGTTGGTGTGACGATGGGACGCAGCAGGGAGCGGGGAGTGTTGACCTGGGAATGTGCGCTGGGGATGGGAGACCTGAGATCCTGTCACCTGAGCCGGGAGGGGGAGGTAACACCTCTGCCCAGGAATGTGAACACAGGCTGCAGAAGGGAACCTGCTGCGGGGGTTTAGTTTCAGTTTGGTGCTGGGTGGAGGAACGCAGGGAACCCCAGGGCTGGGGTCTAAGCTCCCTGCTCCCCCAGAAGGACTTGACTGAGGTGTCCTGGTTGTACCCACAAGCTCTGTTTTGGACTGTGTTCCTGTTGTCCAATAAACCTTCTGTTTTACTGGCTGGCTGAGAGTCTCAGTGAATCCCAGGAAGAGGGGTGCAGGGCCTGGACTCCCTCACACTCCGTGACAGTTGGAGGCCCAGATTTTCAATATTGTGAGCAAAAAAATATGTGGCTAAATTGCATGTCTGGTTCCCAAAATTGTACATTTTGTACAAATTGTACATAAGGGAGGGAGACTGCAAATGCATCCCTGCTTCGACTGCGCATTTGCACAGGCCTGGAGGGTGTCTGCAAGTGCCTATTCACACATGGCCCCAACTGTAAAAGCATTGAAGAAATAATGTGATGGAATCAGGACTCATTTTTTTCTGGTCTGTCCCCAAAGTCTGGAGCCCAGCACTGATAGGAACCATTCCCTGAGGTGTCATTGCCTGGAGCACTTGATCCTGTTCTGTTCATTCCCTCTGAAGCATCTGCCACTGCCTACTGTTGGTTAGATGGACCCAGTATGGCCATTCTTATGTAATGCTGCTTCCGAGGCCAGGGGTGACATACATGCATATATGCCATCCTGTACAGAGACCTGGGTGGGCATATCACCATGGGCACCTCTTCCAACATATTGGACACGTTCTCCAGGTGTCTGCATTGGAATGGGTTCCACCAGTCACTGTGCTCCTTTGTGCTGCATGCCAACCCGTACAGTGCATTGCACTGCCCGCTGTCTGGGTGTGCAGTGCCAAGTGCAGGTGCCACCCTGGGCAGGGTCTAAACCAGGTAGCCCAGTGCAGCACCCTGGCTGGGAATCTGACCAGTCAGCTGAGGCTCATCAGACTCGATGAGCTGCAGCCTGGGTGACAGTCAGACCAACGACCCGATGTCCTCTAAGAAGGGGAGGCGTCAGGATAATTCCATAGCATAGGGCATCGGCACTGGCAGCACGAGAGTGCAGGGGAGGCAGGGACATTTTTCTCTCTGCTTCCCTGAACTGCCAATTGGCATTTGAAAATGGGGCCAAGCAAGGTGCTGGGCATGTCCCATGGGGAGCCCCTGCCTTTTTGCCCACCCCACCTCTTGCCTTCACTCCCCTTTCCTCCTCCCATCCTGGTGCTAGTGCTGGTCCCAGGCCAGGCAAGTTGCACCATCATGAGGGAGTCCCCCAAATCCAGGACATAGCATTTGGTTTCCATCTCCATCCCCAAGGACCCCTCTCAATAACCGCCATGGAAAATCAGTCTCCCAGGCCCCTGGCCCAGTTCACCCTCCAGGAGGGTGCTGAGGCTGCAGTATGGCCCAGGCAGGATACCCCAGGCTGGTCTGCTCTGGCATCACACAGAGACAGCTGCTCCTCAGGGCCACTGGGGCCTTGTCAGAAGAACAAAGCCTGCAAGTGAAGAGCATCCAGATAAATCTCTGGGAAAGCAAGAAGAAAGGGAAACAAGGCAAGCAAATGAACCTTACAAGAGAATAAATACCCCCTCCCCAACACACACGCAGCAAACCTGTCTGCTGTCTGCTGTGAGGAGTTCAAAGGCTCTTCTGTTCTCTCTCATCTGCTCTGGGCTCCTCGAGAGAGGCAGCAGCCTGGATTTGGGCAGCAAATGCTAATAACCCAGATGTTCTGACAATGCGTTCGTTCCTCCAATTAAAAACAAAAGATCCCCAAAACTAAACACAAGGAAATGAGCAACATGAAAGAACTGCTCCCCTCATGCCTACCTCCACTCCTGATAATG